ATACAATAATCCAAGATATCGTAACTCCTAGCATTTGCAACTGCCGTAGGTGATGTAGGCTTTTAGGCGAATTACCCTAGGAACCCTCAAACTCAATGGAATAGGAACAAGATGATGATCAAATTAGAACCCTAAGGAAACTAAGTCCTTAAAACCCAAATCTTGAGATGCCACAAAGGTTGATCACTCCCTTTGATAAGTCGAGATTCAAGCATTCAATCAAGAACACAAGAAGGCAAAGCAAATAGCTTTTTGAAATAAACTTCAATTGATAATAATCTATCCCCAAAAAATAACATGGCCGCCCCTTTTTATAAGCAACAAACCCTAAAAGAAAACCCTAGCTAATTGAAAAATGGGTTGGGTCTAAATACAAGCGAATTGGGCCTAAACAAATCTTAAATAAATAAAAGACTAAAGAATCTAATGATAATTAAAACATAAAAAGCCCAAGATTAAATAAACGAAAATTAATTCCTAAATTAATCCTTGCATCCAACTTGATCTTCCGAATCTACCCCTTGCATAAAAAGATAATAGACCATCCTTGGTGAAGCTTTGAGATCTTCGAATTTAGTCTTAGAGTCTTCTAGTACAACCTCTTTGTATTGCACTTCCATGATCAAGCCTTGCAAAGCCTCTTTCATCCTCTTTGTCTTTGCCCTAGTCATTGGACCGCCAATTCCTTGCAAAGGATCCTGAGAATATTTGGGAACACCAACTTGGTCAGCACCTCGATCTCCATTAATAGGTATCATCACACCGTCATCTAAAATTATTCCACTTACCTCACACTCAAATTCATGTTGGATTATTGACAATAGAGTCACAGATCTTCCTCAGCATTTTGCAAGTGCAAACGAATCAAGCCAAGTCGAGTAATGCTCAGCTTGAGCTCGATTCATTATAAGAAATTTGAAGCTCGAGCTCAACGAGATCTGGAATCAGGGTTGGAGCTTGAGAAGAAATATTGAGCTCGAGCTCATGCTCTAAGTCATTTGCACCCCTATAAGCCACGATCGGCTTGACAAACTTTTATGCTCATTCTTAGCAATTTATCAAAAATAAAACAAATGATAAATGTGGCTCAAGCTCAACAGACATAAGCATGTTAGTTCACCCACTTTCCATTTTCTCACGATTACACAAGCTAAATTTAACATAAATTCATTCTTATCCTTTCCAAAATTTTCTTGCGAACCAGACATAGCTATGTTTATTAAAGACCTCAAAAACTGGAGACTTTCATTTCTTTACTTCTTCACTAATGATAGGAAACAATTAAATTATTTAAGCCCATTTTAAATCAGAATTGAAAATGAGTACATTACATATACTTGTTGAAAAAATACTACCAATCACATGGAAAATCATACGCGACTGGTGACTGACAGAGCTTGGCAGCTAGGCCGAACTGGCAGAGCTTTGCGACTCATGGATCTTGGCATGCCGACTTTGGCATGGCATGCCAACTTTGGAGTGGCGTGGGGAAGCTTGGCATGGCGATTTGGGAGTTTTGGAGTTTAGAGTGTGAAGTCGGATAGGCGGAGAGGAAATAAAAAATTAGAACTGAGTACTTGTAGGCTTAGAACTCGACTAGCTTAAAATTTGAACTGCTTGAGCTTGAGCTTAGCTCAACAAATCCAAGCCAAGCCCGAGCTCGATCAGCCATTATTAGTTTGTTGAATGTTGGTCAAACTGATGAAGATGGTGATAACCTGCTGAAAATGCAACATTATTCAACTGAGGTTTCAAACTATGTTTTGGTGCCAAGTGTTCTGTTTTGGTTAAGATGTAGTAGTTGATGCAGCAGATTTTTGGCACAGTGGAGTGACATTTATATGACATGTTTAGTTGAGATTAAGACATGTTTTGGTGTATGTTTTATTCAAATTTAAATGAAATATATTAATCCACTACAGTAGTTTGTTTTAGGTAAGAACAGTGGACAATTTTTGTATAAATGTATCCCATGTTCAATGAATGAAGTTAAACATATATTTTTCAGTTTCAACTGTCCCTATCCATTTCAAAACTCTCTTTCTTTACACTCTCCAATTAACAATCTGAACTAACAATTGGTATCAAAACTATAGCTAATCTTAAGGGCCTAATACACTCATCTATTTTCATCCAATTTCTTAGCCTTTGTTATGGTGAAACCATCTGTCAAACTCCACACAACCTAACTCAATGGCACAACACACAACCTCTTTTACTTCTCCAGTCTTCAATGGTGAGTAATACCATATGTGGGCTATCAAAATGAAAACCTTTCTAAGGGGATAAGGTTTATGACAGTATGTTGAAGAAGATAAACAACCACCAGCATTGGGGCCAAACCACATTCTGAATTAGATTAGGCTTCATGAAGAGGAAGCTACTAAGGCTCCTAGAGCTCTGTCACATATCCATGCAGTTGTAACTGAACTTGTGTTTACAAGAATCATGGCTTATGAGACAGCCAAGGAAGCATGGGATTAACTCAAGGAGGAGTTCGGTGGCAGTGATACAACAAGAAACATGCATGTATTGAACTTAAGGAGGGAGTTTGAAATGCTAAAGATGCAAGAGTCAGAATCAATAAAGGAGTATGTAGACAGGTTGATGAATGTAGTGAATAAAATCAGGTTGTTGGGAGAGGAAATGACAGATAAGAGGATAGTGGAGAAAGTCTTAGTTAGTCTACCGGAGAGGTTTGAATCCAAGATTTCTTCACTTGAGGATTCTAAGGATTTGTCTCAAATTACACTCATTGAATTAGTGTATGCTCTGCAAGCTCAAGAGTAAAGGAGATTGTTAAGACAAGAGGATTCAAGTGAGGGTGCAATGGTGGCAGGACTTAAAGGCAGACCTGGTTAGGGAGGAAATAAAAGGCCTGCTGGAGATAAGAAAGGGAAGGAGAAAATGGCCAACCAGTGGAGCAAACCAAGTGGAATGAGAGAGTTTCCACCTTGTTCTCATTGTAAGAAGAAGGGCTATTCTGAAAAAAGTTGCTGGTTCAGACCTAATATCCAATGTAGAGCATGTAAGCAATATGGCCATATTGAAAAAGTGTGTAAGAACATGTCAAACTAGCCACCACAGCAAGCATAGATTGTTGAGGATCAACAACAAAATTCAGAATATGAGCAATTATTTATGGCTTCATGCTATGTAGTTCAAGCTTACAATGATGCATGACTGATAGATAGTGGCTGCACTAATCATATGACAACAAACCTGGAGGATTTTGTCAACTTGGACAAGTCATACCATTCCAAAGTTAAAGTTGGAAATAGGGAGTTTGTAGCTGTCAAAGGGAGAGGAAATATTGCTGTGCAAACAAGGTCAGGTATCAAACTAATCCCTAATGTTTTGTATGTACATGATATAAGCCATAATTTGCTTAGTGTAGGACAAATGCTAGAAAGGAATTATGTCCTGCATTTCTAGGATCAGTCCTGCACAATCTTGGACAATGAAGGCAGTGAATTAATGAAGGTTAGAATGATGGGAAAAAGCTTCCCTATCAGGCTAAAAAAACCAAAACCTAAAGCCTATACTGCTGATGTAAATGAGTCAGAATTATGGCATAAAAGATTAGGCCATTTCAACTATCATGGTCTTTAGGAAATTCAGACCAAAGAATTGGTCTACAATCTGCCAGAAATTGTAGAGACTAAGGTTGTATGTGCTACCTGTCAGCTTGGCAAAATGAGTAGACAACCATTCCCTGCAAACAAAACCTGGAGAGCTGTTGAGAAGCTCTAGCTTATCCACACAGATGTGTGTGGACCTATGCAGACACCATCACTAAATGGAAGCAAATATTTTGTTTTATTCATTGATGACTGGTTCAGGATGTGTTGGGTTTACTTTTTGAAATAGAAAAATGAAGTTGCAGCCGTGTTTGAAAGATTTAAGCTGCAAGTTGAAAACCAAACTAGACTTAGCATCAAAATTGTAAGAAGTAACAATGGGAGTGAGTACACCTCTAGTAAGTTTGAAATAATCTGCAGGCATGCTAGAATTGTGCATCAGTTGAGCCGTCCCTATACTCCATAGTAGAATGGAGTCAGTGAGAGGAAGAATATGACTGTTATGGAGATGGCCAGGTGCATGGTTGTTGAGAAGAAGCTGCCTAAGTCTTTTTGGGTAGAGGCAGTAAACACAAGGGTCCATTTGCTTAATAGACTTCCCACCAAGGCTTTAGCTAATCAAACACCCTATGAGGCTTGGTATGGAGTGAAGCCTGCAGTTGGAAATCTGAGAATTTTTGGGAGTGTATGCTATGCATTCATTCCAGCAGCCAAGAGAAGCAAACTGGATGACAAAGCCATGAAAAGAGATTTTTATTGGCTATAGTGAGTAGTCCAAAGCTTATAGAGTCTATGTTCCAGCAACCAAGAAAATTCACATCACTAGAGATGTGAAGGTAGACAAAAGTTGGTTCTGAAACTGGGAGAAAAATGAGGTTGAAGAAGACTCAAGAGGGCAGTTGACAGACACAATAGTAGGCATACATGATGATCCAGAAGAGACAGATTCTGATGATGATTTTCCAGTTTGGGGTACTAGCCTCTGGCAGAGGTTTATAAGAGGTGTAATGCAGCCTTACTTGAACCTGCAAACTACAAAGAGCTACTAAGTCAAAGGTATGGAGGAATGCAATGAAGGAGAAGATAAACATGATTGAAAAGAATGGCACCTGGGAATTGGTAGATAGACCAGCAACTAGGAGGGTAATCCAAATCAAATGGATTTACAAAAGGAAACTAAAACCTGATGGATTAGTGTATAAACATAAAGCAAGGTTGGTTGTCAAGGGATTTGCTTAAAAATTTGGAGTAGACTTCTCATATACATTTGCACCCGTGGCTAGGCATGACACAATTAAGCTTCTCCTTGCCTTGGCAGCCCAATTTGGGTGGAGAATTTATCAACTAGATGTCAAGTCAGCCTTCCTAAATGGTTGGCTTAATGAGAAAATTTATGTAGAGCAACTGGAGGGATACGAAATGGAAGGGCAGGAGAACAAATTCTGTTTGCTGAGGAAAGCTCTATATGGCCTAAAACAGGCCCCTAGAGCTTGGTATAGTAGGATCAATGATCATTTGGTTAGCTTGGGATATGTAAGGAGTCTAAATGAGCATACACTATATGTCTATATGTGAGAAGGCTGGAAGGGGAATTCACTAAAGTGTCATTATATGTTGATGATTTACTCATCATGGGAAGCAGCTCAATTCAATTAGAGAAGTTTAAGATGGCCATGCACAATGAATTTGAAATGACTGATCTTGGGGAAATGTCTTATTTTCTTGGAATGGAGATCCACCAAAGTCAGCATGGGATATTTGTTAGTCAAAAGAAATTTGCCAATGAAATCCTACATAAATTTGATATGGACAGGTGCAAACCAGTGGACACTCTTCTGGTTGCAAATTTGAAGCTGAGCAAAGATGATGGGGCTGTGAAAATTGATGAAAAAATGTATAGAAGTCTGATTGGGTGCCTACTGTATTTGACTGCCACCAGACCAGACTTAATGTTGGCAACAAGTATTCTTTCTAGATTCATGAGCAGTCCGAGTGAAATCCATCTCAAGGCAACCAAGAGGGTGTTGAGGTATATTAAGGGAAGTGTTGAGCTTGGTGTATGGTTTAAGAAGACTAAAAATCTGCCGCTTATTGGGTACTCTGACAGTGATCGGGTTAGATGCATTAATGACATGAGAAGTACTTCAGGCTATGTTTTCTTCTTGAATTCAGGAGCTATATGTTGGCTTTCCAAAAAGCAAGATACCATTTCTGAGTCCATAGTAGAAGCATAATACATTTCTGCTGCTGCTACTGTAAACTAGGCTATATGGCTTAGGAAAATTCTGCTGGATTTGAAGCAAACTTAGAAGAAACCAACTATAATTCTCTATGACAACTAGTCGGCTATTGCAATGGCAAAGAATCCCATCTCACACGGCAGAACCAAACATATCAAGATCAAGTTCCGTTTTATGAGAGAGGCAAAGAGTAATGGAGAAGTGAAATTGATTTACTGCAGGGGTGAAGAACAGATAGCTGATGTCATGACCAAGGCTTTGTCTGAAGCCAAGTTTGAGAACCTAAGACTCCCACTTGGTGTTCCAACAAGATTATCAAGGAGGAATGATGAAGATGGTGATAACCTGCTGGAAATGAAACATTATTCAACTGAGGTTTCAAATTATGTTTTGGTGCCAAGTGTTCTATTTTGGTTAGGATGCAGTAGTTGATGCAGCAGATTTTTGGCACAGTGGAGTGACATTTGTTTGACATGTTTAGTTGAGATTAAGACATGTTTTGGTGTATGTTTTATTCAAATTTAAATGAAATATATTAATCCACTGCAGTAGTTTGTTTTAGGTAAGAACAGTGGACAATTTTTGTATAAATGTATCCCATGTTCAATGAATGAAGTTAAGCATATATTTTTCAGTTTCAGCCGTCCCTATCCATTGCAAAACTCTCTCTCTTTACACTCTCCAGTTAACAATCTGAACCAACAGAAACACATATTGAGTCAGTTGGTTCACTACATGTTACACATCATATGAGATTGGATGAAGTCCTCAAGGTTCCACAGTTTCAAGTTAATTTATTACCAATTAGTAAACTATCACAAGCATTAAAGTGTACGATAACATTCTTTTTTTATTTTTATGTTGTGTAGGATGTTGCTATGAGAAAGACGATTGGCCTGGGCAAGTAACATTATGGCTTTCACTATCTAGCACAAGACCAAAATCCAAAGTTGGCTTACACCATCCACAAACATTCCAATTTTTAGCACCAGCATCGCTGGCATCCATCATGTGGTCCTCTTCAAGTTCTTTCCAAGACAAATCCTGCAATTTATTTTGATTCCAAGCATGTTTGTGAAATTTCTCCTTTAGCCAAACAAACTAGTCTACCTTTTTCATCTAGTTTAATTTCTTCTCAATTAAGTACCTTTTGATTTGATACATTTTGACATTTGGACCACGTCAAATAAATTCTCATTTTGGGGCTCATTATTTTTTTTACAATTGTTGATGATTTTACTCGATATACTTGGACACATCTCAAGAGTTTTAAATCTGAAGCACAAGGAATATTGCAATCGTTTATTTCTTGGGTGGAAACACAATTTGATTGTCATATTAAAACACTTCGATCCAACAATGGTGGTGAATTTGAATCCATGAAGCATTACTTAGGTACTAAGGGAATTAATTTTCATCATTCATGTACTTCAACTTCCCAACAAAACGGGGTAGTTGAGAGGAAATATCGTCATCTTTTAAATGTGGGAAGGGCTTTTCATTTTCAAGCAAACTTGCCATTGAAATTTTGGGGGGAAAGTATTCAAACGACTTGCTATTTAATCAATTGTTTACCTACGTCTCTTCTTTCTCATTAATCACCATACCAACTTCTCCACAACAAGCAACCCATATAAAACCATCTCTAAACCTTTGGGTGTCTTTGCTATGCCACATGTATAGGTCAAAAATCATATTAGACCTAACGAGATCCAATAACGAAATAAATCTATTACAGCCCAATGCCTTAACTCAATTCCGATTGAGCCTATGCTTAAATCCACCTTGTGGATTGATCACTCTATGAGTTGGGTCTTCCTACAAGTTAAGCTAAATCAGGCTCCAACCTATTAGCCTACTTTCGTCCCAAAATAAGAATCAGAATCCTATCACCTTCTTAATTCATTCAAGATCTGGTATCTTACATGAAATTTGTACTCTTGAACTGAAAAAGGCAAGGAATAAAAGTTTCTTTCTAATTCGGACTCCTATACCAAATAGGACTCAGAGTTCTACTAGGACTCCAACCTCCTAGGTTAACTATATAAATATAGGTTAGCCCTCTTATAATGCATTCAGAAATGAGCCATAACTTTAGCTCCTAAATTCTTGCTCTAAAAAATCTCAGTTTTCCCTGCCATAAAGCTTAGTTCTGACTAACTTCACCACCCTCTGCCTCTGCAAAGCTGTGCTTTGGCCACTTAATTTGTGTTAGTCTTACCCTAGCCTTATTACGATAAACTCTTTCTCGCTCTCAGCCCTCACTAAGCTTGCCTTCAACCATGCTGACTTGAGTGTCAGAGTGCTTACAACATACACCATAATGGTATCCCTCGAGCCTTCATGTTCGTTCTCTCTTTCTGTGCAGGTCCATCTGATTGTAAATGGCTCACTTCACACAAGATCTATCCCTTTCAAATCAACTGTAGATTTTACCGTCTACAGCACCAATCTTCTACCACACATAAATTTTTATCAAAGAGCTCATCGTTGTATTTTTGTTGGTTATCCTCTTGGTCAGAAAGATTATCGAGTCTATGATCTTGCAACGCATAAATTATCTTCTTCCAAAGATGTCGTCTTTCATGAACATATCTTCCCATTTCACACTAATCCTCAAGAACAAGAACATGAAACAGTAATTCTTCCTTTGCCACACATCTCCGAAGAACCAGACTCCACAGATACAAGTAGCCCACAAGCCGATGATCTCTCATTATCTCCACCAGCCTTATCTCCATCACTTGCGCCTATCCTAACGACCTTCTACCTTACCACGACCCCACTAAGCAACCACCACCTCTTACTACTTGCCATTCTACCTGTCTCAAACAACCAAATGTCAAACTTCGAAATTTCCACCTCTACCACACGACCTTGGTTGGTCCCAACTAGTCTTCTTCCTCGTCAGGTACACATCACCCTTGACCTTGGTATATTTCTTATGCACAACTCTCACCCAAATATCAGAATTTTGTTTATATTATCACTACACTTGTGGAGCCTATAACTTGTGAACATGCAACTTTGGATCCGAAATGGCTAGAAGCTATGGCTGTAGAATTACAGGCTCTTGAACAAAATAATACTTGGACACTCACGTCTCTCCCTTCCAATCATCGTACAATCTAGTGTAAATGGATCGAGTGTAAATGGGTGTATAGGATTAAATATAACTCTCACGGTACAATTGAGTGATACAAAACTCGGTTGGTGGCAAAAGACTTCACTCGTGATTGACTACAAGGAAACATTTGCTCCTATGGCCAAGTTAACTATGGTTCACTGGTTATTTATTGTCGCTGCTATTCAAAATTGGTCCCTTCACCAAATGGATGTTCAAAATGCATTTCTCCATAGTGACTTACTTGAAGAAGTATATATGGCTGTCCCCTGGTTTTCGTCGACAAGGGGAGACATCTATGGTATGTCGACTCAACAAGTCACTTTGCGAACTTAAATAAGCCTCCCATAGCTGGTTTCAAAACTTTTATACTGCTATTCAGCAAGATAGTTTTCATCAATCTAAAGCTAACTATTCTCTTTTCACCAAGATTTCTAACAATTTTTTCACGGCTGTACTTATCTGTGTAGACAACATTATCATAATCGGCAATGATGACAATGCAATTTCTGCTCTTAAATAGTCTATCCGCACCAAATTTCGCATCAAGGACCTTGACCAATTACGTTATTTCCCAGGTGTCGAAGTTGCTCGTTCTACTGGTGGCATTTTGATATCAACAAAAGTATACTCTTGATATCTTAGACGAATCAAGCTTGATTGGGGCCAAACATTTGTCGACACCTATGGAAGAAAATGTTAAACTCCTACCTATAATAGGTGATCTATTGAAGAATCCATCCACTTATAGAAGACTGGTTGGACGACTCATTTTATCTTACTATTACAAGGCTAGAGATAAGTTATTCAGTTCACATGCTAAGCCAATTTATGCAAGAGCAAAGAAAACCTTATTTATATGTTGTTCATCATCTTTTGCGATATCTTAAATGTGCACTTGGGCAAGGATTATATTTTCCAGCCAAAGGAAATATGTTGTTGGTAGGATTTTGTGATGCAGAATGGGCTTGATGTTCAATCACGAGACTATCTGTGACTAGTTATTGCATATTTCTTGGAGGAGCTCTTATTTCATTGAGAACCAAGAAACAAATGACGGTGCCAAGGTCTTCAGTTGAATCAGGATATCGAGCTATAGCCTTCATTACGTGTGAGCTTACTTGGCTCAAGCATTTGCTGGATGATTTGTGGGTAGAGCACCCACAACCAACAAAACTATTCTGTGATAATCAAGCAGTACTTTACATTGCTGTCAATCCAGTTTATCATGAACGCACCAAGCATATAGAGATTGCTTGCCATGTTGTTCGAGAACGAATTCAGTCAGGTGCCATAGCAACAGCTCATATTTCATCAGCCTGTCAGATTGCCGATTTGTTCACTAAGCCACTTGGTACATCAAGTTTTCATTCTCTTCTTAGCAAGTTTGGCGTGCTTGACATACACGCTCCAACTTGAAAGGGAGTATTATGGGAAAGAATGAGGATCGACATAATTATAGGAAAGAGATTTGTTGATATTACGGAAAAGAATGAGGATCAGCATAATTATAGGAAAGAGATTTGCTAATTATAGAATCGTATATATGTCATTACTTTTTATTGATTGTAATTGATCGTTTATACAAAGTTCCCTAGAATAGAATAGCTGGTGTACTATATAAATGTATACTTTCTCTTTTGTAATGTACAAACTTCAATATACAGAGATTTTTCCCAATATTCAGTTTATTTTACACGTAATTATTCGGATTAGGAGATATAGGGTTAATGACCATAATTATCACCATCCAATTGACTCTTAAGCATAAGCATGAGAATCTCCATAATCCATATGGCAATTTAATTTATACCAAGTATCTAATTTTAGGCATTTGAATGTGACCTATCAAGTAATTGAGTTGTCCTTTCTCCATTGGAAGAATGAGTGATCCGTTGCTTTGCACATCATGGCCGATGAACGGCGTCCAACAACTATATATTGACCTCATCAGTTATATATATTGACCTCATCTACATCTACATGAGTTATGTCATCAAATTAATTTTTTCATGATCCTAACTATAACTGGATGACTATAGTTAATTTTGAGTCAAGTTATGTCATCAAATTAATTTTTTCATGATCCTAACTATAACTGGATGACTATAGTTAATTTTGAGTGAAAATAATCTATTTTATTATCTCTGAAACAGTATACATATGTACTATTCATTACAAATATTTTTTGGTGAAAAAAGTCTCTACTTTATTATCTCTGAAATACTATACACATATAATATTCAATAGGAATAATTTTTGGTGAAAAAAATCTTACTTTATTATCTCTGAAATAGTAAACATATATATTGTTCAATAAGAATGATGATCCCACTAGCTTGGTGATGTGAGACATAAAAACAATTAGAAAACCTTAGAGCCCACCGTATAATAATATAATTAACATGACTTAAGCCCAAATATAATAATACAATTACCAATTACCATCTATCTTTAATCACCTCCTTTAAGATTTAGTTTTCTTTTGCTTACTCAGAGACTATATTATTAAACTGTTATGGATGTATCGATCGATTCACAATAATTTCTTTTTTTTGTTATGATTCCATTAATTCTATATTTTTTTTTATGTAAGTTTTTACCACAATCTATCAAATTGTAAATGGAGAAGAGTTTAACCAATAAATAGTTGAAAACATGATACTTTAATTTGTCTTACACCACCCGAAATTGAAGATGCCCCGATGTGTGTTGTGACATCTGTGTATAAAGTAATATTAGTGTTCTTTTGAAGCATTTTCCTCTGTTAGAGGAATATAATTACCTCGATGCTGGTATATGCCGACGTTATGAAGAGCATCAGCCTTTGGAGACTGGAGTAAGTTGATATTTCTCCAATGCATTTTGTTCGCATCAAAGATGTATTGTTACCTTGACGTAGGTGTTGAGGTATGAATTCATACACCAACACCTACATGACATTGGCACATTGACAAATGCACCAATGCTAGGTCCCGAGGCTAATGTATCTTCATTTTCTGATAGTTTTAGAGTATCTTCAAAGAACTCTTTATGTAATCTAAATAGTAGAGAATCTTTAAATGACTTTTTATATAACCCAAAACTCTTTATTATAAAAAGTCTATCCATAAAAATAAGAGTCTAACGGATTCTTTATCCTTTAAATATAAGTTAAAGAGCGAATTTGACTCTCTACGTATAAAGAGTCAAATTTCACTCTCTATCCTAATTTTAATAAATAAACTATAAGTTTCTATACATTTTATTTATTAATTCTCTCTCCTATTAAATTTCTTTATTGAAAATAAAGAGCATCTTCATTAAATTTAAAGAGTTAGATTTGAATAAAAAATTTATTCTTTATATTTAGAAATTAATGAAGATACTCTTTATTTATATGAAATATGCTCTTTAAAATAAAGAGCACCACTGAAGATGCTCTTAGAGTATCTCCAAATGACTCTTTATATGACTCAAATTCTTTATTATAAAGAGTTTATCCATAAAAATAAGGATTCAACAGACTCTTTATTCTTTAAATATAAATTAAAGAGTGATTTTGAATTAATCTTCACACCTAGAGAGTCAAATTTCACTTTCTATCTTAATTTTAAATAATAAATTACAAGTTTCTATGTATTTTATTTATTATTTATCTCTCTTATTAAGTTTTTTTCTTGAAAAAGTATATTATCTCTCTTAAAATTTTAAGAGTCTATTAGATTTGAATAAAAAATTTGTTCTTTATATTTAAAAATTAATGAAGATACTCTTTATTTATCTCTTTATTTATATGAAAATTGCTCTTTAAAATAAAAAGTACTATTAAAGATTCTCTTACAATATACATTTTTAATTTGGTTTTTGACAGATTTTTTTTTTTTTTTTTTTTTATAATTAGGAGTATTCAAACTAGCTTGTGATTCATTTCAATTAATCTCTCCAAACTCTAAGGGGGCGTTTGGTTGGGGGTTAAGTGGGATTATTGGGGTAATGTCATCTTATATTACTTGATTATCATGTTTGGTTGTCAAGTAATATCAGATACCGGTAATCTTCAAATACCAATAGTGGTTACTATTGGTAATATTAGAGGTAATCTGATTACCTCCATTTTCTTAGGTATTCTGAGATTACCAGGGTTATCTTTTTTTGTTACAATTTTATCCCTTATTAATAAAAATTTTAGATAATAATACCCCTACTTTAAAACAAATTTACATTAATATCCTACTTCAATTTTACCCTTGTTTAATTAAAATTTTGGACAATAATACCCTTATATTTAAAATTATTTACGGACCACCATAGCCACCCAGCTACCACCACCACTGCCACCCAACCACCACCGCTGACAGCAGGCCAACCACCATGGACCACCGCCGAAAAATCATCGGAGTCCCTAATGAAGAAGAAAATTCCGTGGGAGGCTCCGGGGAGCTTCGTTATGGCCGTTTCCGGCCATATTGATGGCCGAAAACGGCCATATCAGGCCAGATCTGGTCGAAAATGGCCAGATCTGGTCGGAAATGGCCAGATCTATTCTATCCATTTTCGACCAGATCGATGGATCTGGCTGTTAATTGCCAGATCCCTGGCCATTATCGGCCAGGTCTGGGCCAGATCTGACCGTTAATCCGTGGCCGTTAACGGCCAGATCTGGTCCAGACCTGGCCGATAATGGCCAGGGATCTGGCCTGATATGGTCGGAAACGGCCATAACGAAGCCTTCCGGAGCCTCCCACAGAATTTTCTTCTTTTTTAGGGGCTCCGGCGATTTTCCGGCAGCAGCAGGCGGCGGCGGCAGGAGGTGGGGGTGATTTCGTCATAAATTAAAATTTTTTATAAGCAAGGGTGTTTTAGCTAAATCTGAAATATTGGGGGTTAAAAAAATTATTCAAAAATTAATAATAAAAATAATATTATATTAATATTTAAAAGAGGGTCAATTTAGTAATTTAAATAACATACCCACCAATTTATTCCTATAACCAAACATATTAATATAACAAACCCACCAACTAACCAAACATATTTTCTTAAAGATTTCCAATAATCTTCCAAGGTAATCTATCTTTCTAGTAATCTAACATTTTCAGTAATCTAATATTCCTGAACCAAACACCCCCTAAAATGAACATCGGACAAGTTTTCTCGTCAGCCATCCTTATTAGTGTCGAAAAAACTTCATTTCACACGTTAAACTTATTTGTTCTTTTAACATCGAATCACCGAGGGATGGTTAATATGAAAATTTAGATTAAGCACGCGCTTCGACTCTCAAAAGAAATCCAACAATTTTCTTTAATATTAAAGAGAGAGAGAGAGAGAGAGAGAGAGAGAGAATGCACAATTTGATTGCCAATATCGTCCGTTCACGATCACTCTTCTAAACACAGAACCAACTTAACGAACAGAACAAAGGAAATGAGCGCCATTACTTCCTATCAGTACAGCCCAACAAAAAGCAGCATGTATCGTCACTGTATAACTACTGCGAGCCTAATTAGAAGCGCAAATGAAGTGGCTACAATCCCGCACCTTCGCAACTCACCATACTCAGCTCTCTCTTCTAACGTGCGCTCCACCGCCACCATGGGCAAGGACGCTGTTGATTCCCATCAGCTCGAAGCCATATTCCAGCAAAAACGGTTTCTCAGGCTCAAGATTCGCAAAGACCTTAAAAACATGGACCCAATTCAACGATCTCAAGAAGGTCTTACTCTCTTATTTACTTTATCGTACTCGAAATGTTCGTTTGTTTGTCTGAATGAAAATTCCAAATAAGTCTGCCAATTATGTGATTATTGAGTGCTGAACAGAGTTTTGGCCAATTGATGGACAAAAATGTAAATGAATTAGAAAGGGGGCATTGTTTTGTTCTACAGAGAATTTTTACTTCTCGTGTTTCTTATGTTTTGTGTGAGTGTGACAGATAATGCGATTCATAACATTGTTATGGAATCTCCATGGTTCAAAGCGAGCAAGAGCTTATGTGCTTATATAAGCTGTGCGGCTTTACGGGAAGTGGATACATCAAGAATTGTCTCAGAGATTCTGTCCAGCCCAAGCACCGGTTTGTCAAGACATTTTTGCTTGTTATTTTGGTATTGTAACATATTACCGAAATTTCATATTTAGGAATGAATATATTGGCACATATATTTCCAAATAAATGCTTGAGTGCTTACTGGTGCTCATTAGCAACTTGTTTAACAATTTGGACGGATCAAAACTCAAAGATGAAAGTGGGAGGGCACTGAAGTTGTTGGGGGCACTAAATTGAAGTAGTTGCTTTTCAAACTATTAGTTATAAGTGTTTTAGCATGTTATAATCTTTTCCCTTTTTATTTACCGTCTTTGGCCTCTTGAGTTAATCCTATCGTCCCTGTTAGCATAGATGGTGAGCAAAAGGAAAAGCATAATGCTGGAAAAGTTGTAAGCTAATATAAAAAAGGTGTGGATTTTGTTAGCCATGTATTGCTATTTTAGTCACATTCATGGGTGAATCCAGTTTTCCTTTTTCCTGCATGCTTCAAAGCCCTGTCCTTAATGTGTATAAAAGATTTATATTTCTGGAAAATTGATAATGCTCTTTCCTTGCAATTTACTCCATTATTATCTGTCATCTTATTGTTTCAGTGTTGAGAACGTTTTCATCACCAAACAATCGCATTTCATTACAATTTTATTATACTTGTGGAGATTCTTACATCTCATTTTCACTCCAGAGGGTAATACACAGTTGAGGAAAAAGCTTTATGTTCCACGTGTGGAGGACAAGAACAGCAACATGAAAATGCTCAAAATATCCAGTGTTAATGACCTCATAGAAAACTCAATGAACATTTTGGAGCCACCCCTAGTAGATTCTAATGGAAATCAATGTGAAGATGGTACTTTTCTTTTTATATATATTTCCTTTATCTAATCAAAGATACTTGACCGTACTTCATCATTTATAGCTTGCACCACTATAATTTCAGACGCTATGTGAACTAAATATGTTCAGCATTCTTGACCCCTTTTATTATAAATGCCCTTGAACTAAAATTCTTTTCAAGTCAATACCTACAGTTAACTTGTAACTAGGGAACTATAGTAATGTTTGTAGAGTCATCTGTTAACATGCAGTTGAGTATTGGTAAAGAATGCAAAAGACATCTTCAACTCTGCATTAGAGTTTGTGCTCAATTTCTTCTTTTAAGGGAGTAGAATTCTGCTCATAGAGTCATCACCATTGTAAGAATGCTTTCTGGCTTAGAAAATTTTGTTATTCCAAATTAGTCTATATATATATATATATATATATATGCTTCCAGTAGCAGCAAGAGGAACTATAGGGTCGTTTTAGCATGTGCCCAAAGACACATGTTAAAGCTACAAAAATACACAATTTTAATGAAATTAGTACACTTAAAAATGCTTTTTTTTTTTTTTTCCCTTGTAAATGGAGAGCATTAATATAGTAAAAAATTTCATTTTTAGGTACCATTAATATGTGCTTATAAGGGTATTTGTTAACAGGTCCCTTTGAGATACTGATAACTTATGATTAAAAAGTTGGAACTATTATTTTTATTATTTCCTGGTGCTCCATTGCTAAAGTATTTCAGTTTAACAAGGTCAATTCGTTGCTTGATGTGTCTTCAAAGCTGTGTCTTGGCTATTGCAAATTTTCCATTTAAAAGGACAAGAGCTTGTCTGATGTGGGAATTTTTGACCTATTTGAACATTTGAACTTGCAAATTCTATCAACATAGTTCAGAACAATTTTAATCAGAGGAAAGAGTTTCTGCAATTCTATTTATAGTAATTAATAATTACAATGCTTCCTTAAGTAATTTATGATTGTCCTACTTAATTTCAGATGACGAAGGTTTTGGGTCATTTACAGTTTGGTTAATTATGAATGTTGTGTAGAGAATAAATATTAAGTGAAACCTGAAGGAATCCCAGGCCTGCTCCTTCAGTTAGTAAAACTTTCCTGTTATTAGTTTTGATGGCTGCTTTTACCTGGGTTCTGCCTTCCCCATATGATAGTGTACGATTTCCATCTTGGAGATTATAGATTCATTTTGGTGTGGTGAGTCTGGCTGTTATTCATCTGAAGGGTTTACTTGGTGCAGTAATGCAGGCAAGAGAGCCAGTTGACTTGGTCATTTTACCAGGTAATCATGTTGATTCTCACTCTTGTTTTGGAAAACCAAAAAAAAGGAGAGAAATTTTGATTCTTCTTTGTTACCTTCTATTGTTAGAAACTGATCTGTGGGAGACCTGTAATTTAATTATTTTTTTATCAAGTGACTTCTTTTCATTTTCTTTCAGGGCTTGCATTTGACAAATCTGGAGGACGCTTGGGTCGTGGTGGGGGGTGAGTTGATGCAATGTAGCTTTAGAATTTGTTGTATTTTTCCAACTTTTGTCAAAGGGCATGGCCATTATTACTACCGCGTATATTTTTATGGTGTTTATAACTACTTGCATTTAATATGTTATTACGGAAGCTTACAGTTATATTTGAAAATTAGATTATATTTTGATCATTTAAAAAACATCATAAAGATATCTCAATGCTAACTTTTTGCTAATAATGACTCTTATCTTGGTGCTTCATTTATTGATATTTATGATCAATGAACTAAATTATGACTGCTGTTATATGGATGTAATAATGTGCCGTAGGCAGCAAGTACAAAAATTTTAAGATTTGACTAGGGACATGCTTTAATCCATTTGTCGCATTTCTATTGAGATATTGGCTTATTATCGCTGTGGTTTCACTGCATGGTAAAATCTGGAAGATACTATGACGTGTTGCTTAAGAAATATCAAAAGCTTGCACAGGAGAGGAAGTGGAAGCTACCCCTACTTGGTGATTTCCTATTGTTGGTTAACAATACATTTACAACTTTTTGTATCAAAGTTCCATTTCCATCGTAAATATTTATTATAATTCCTTGCTTTTTGTTATTTGGTTGCAGTTGCATTATCATATTCTGTACAGATCATGGAGGAAGGATCCATACCTGTCACTCCCTGTGATGTTCCAGTGGATGCTCTTGTATCACCTAGTGGTTTCATTCCCATAACCCCAATTGCTTTAGAGAGGTATGATTGAAGGAAGGTGTCTCCTTTCTGCTGAATATGGTATCTTACTAAATTGGCACACCAATAAGGATTTACTGTTACATTTAGTGTGGTCTGATAAGAAATTAGCAAGTATTGCCTTTAGCTAGCTGAAATGCAAAGGGGCTATCGGTAAAGAATCAATCAAGATATTGACCTTGGTAAATTGTATTATTGCACGATGGAAAATAAATTTTTTAGGGCCTTTTTTTGTATAGAAATTGGAAATTTAATAGTTTCGAATCAAATCGAGTAGTAATGGAGTTTGGAAGAATTTGTATCAGTGCTTCACATGTATTATACACCTCTGTCAGAGATACAAAGCAAGTGACAAAACCATCTTCCTGCTCTGCTTCTGATTGATAACATTGCGACACCCAAGTTGCTGAAGTGCATAAATAGGTGGTACCAAACCATACCACTAGACAATTTCTGTGATATGTAATGTGTAGTCTTTCTAACTTATAGCTGATATAATGAAGGCATGCCTGAAATATCAATATTGTTGGTATACCCCAGGATCAGTAAAGTGTAAATTATTTTCAATTCTTTTTCTTAAATGAATGTTTTTTACATATTGCAATTTATTGTAAATAGAAATAGCTATCACCATCCCCACACCTTTTATCTCCTGTGATGATTCTTGCGTGTCATTTTCTAATTTCCAATTATAATAAATAATTTTAATTTCTAATTTTCCGAACATTTTCTTTAGGGTTTAGGGCAAAACCTCTTTTTTTTTTTTTTTTTTTTTAATTCTTATATTAAAACACATTTTGTTTATCTTATTTCTTTATTAATGTTATTTCCTCGAATTATCTAGATTAATAATTCTTTTTACTTATATTTAAACATTTTTTAACCCTCTTAAATGTTTTTTTTTTCCTCACGACAAGTAATAATAGAGAACACATTGATTGCTAGGGATGGGCATGGGCGGAACCCTTCTCTTTGAAAGTCCAAGGGGGTTCCTCGATCTTAGCCGAACAGGGAATTTGGAGAATCCTCGAATTAGGCCCAATCCCCAACCGAGAATCCTCAAATCCCATTTGGCGATTTGCTTATAATTTTTTTTTTATTTTTAATGATTAAAAAAAATTATAATATTTATTATAATGAATCAAATATCAAAATAATAATTATAATTATGATACATTTATATATATAATATAATATATATATATATATATATATATAATATATATATATATATTATATATATAAATATATATATATATATTAATGGTATTTTTATGTATATTGTAATGAGTAACAAGTATTAATACATATATAAATATATGATATTATGATATGGATAATAACTTATCATGTATAATGTATAATATATAATATATTATAATAAATTCTAAATAATTATACCATCTCCTTACAGTGTCTCATTATATTCTAAATAATACATAGATTATACATAATTTATTACATATGATACATTATACATATATATTATAACAAATTCTAAATAAATAACTACCATAATAACAAGGGTAATTAGGTAATCAACTGAAATAATGATTCAGCCAAAAAAAAAAAAAAAAAAAAATTATAATGATTATTTATTATTTAATCAATCAAAATATCACGATACTTATACTAAATAACATATGTATTATGTATTTCAAATGATCTATTACATATATAACATAGTATGTGTTTGGCTTATATTTTTATCCAGATTCTGGATCCTATTCTCCAAATAATGTTTGGGACATTATTCCAAGAATATTACCCTATTTTTTTAATTACTTTTAAACCCATAAGGTTATAATTTCATCAAATACCCCCTAAAAAAAGTTTAAAAATTATCAAAAACACCCCGCAACCCATTTCGCCAGATTCCAGCAACCACCGTCGGTGTAGCCGAAATCTATACAACGCCAACCTGCCGACTATAATGGCCGAAGTTCACCGATCTGGTCTTCCGGCCATCCCACCACGGATTTGGCCGGAAAAGGCCAGATCTGGCCGTGAACGACGCCAAAGAAATGGCCGTCATTGAGGTCAACGACGGCCAAATCTTGGCCATCGTGACCGAAAACGACGGCCAAATCTTGGCCATCGTTAACCGAAAACGACGGCCATATCTTTGGCCGTCGCTGACGGCCAGAGATGGCCGTTGTTTTGGCCTTTTTCGGCCGTCGACGGCCACAACAGGCTGTAGATCTAGCCTTTTCCAGCCAGATCTGGTGGACTGGCCGGAAAGCCATAACGACTCGTTACGACACAGATCCGACCGTCTGTTCGTAAGCGATTTTCCGGCCAGATTCTGGCGGTGCTGGCCAGAATCTGGCACTGCAGGTGGTGGGGGATTTTTGTCAATTTACATGTTGGGGTATTTATGAAATTAGCAAACTTAGGGGGTTTTTCTATAAATTTTTAAATTTTACCTCGTAATACTCCCATATTCAATTATCCAATACTATCTCCAAAATCCTACCCAAAATAATAAACCAAACGCACCCATATTTATTATGTATTATAAATATTTATAATGATTTATTATATTTAATCTAGTTTTATTTATCCTATTTCTATATGGTTTCATAAAATATTCATACAATTATAACCTGTTTTTGTATAATTTATGGTTTCAGATTGATTTTCAATTATTAAAACTAATATAGGATTAAATGATTAAAATTAAACCTGACTATATATATATATAAACAGGGTGGGGACGAGCTGAGGGGGAGAGATCAATCCCGTCCTTGAATTTGGGGACTGATTTTCAGCCCGAGCCTGACCCAAATCCTGAATAATTTGGGAAAACTCCACCTTGCTCAGGGCGAGTTCTTGTGGGACGGGTATTATGCTCATCCCTACTAGTTGCTTGTCTTGCATGCAATATATTCGAGAGACTGACCATCAATTGAATCTTGAAAGAGGTTAAAAACGCTCTTTTTTTCTTTTCTTTTTTTTTTTTTTTTTTTTTTCACATTTTGGTAAGTGATAATTTGGTATTTTAGTAAGTTTAGAAAGTCCATGGTGCACGCTATAATTCAAAAAAAACGGCGGTTAATTAAATATTTATAAACCTCAAGGTTATGCTTGCAATTAACCATAATCATTTAGGACTGAGTCGACTGACGTACGAACATGCAGTTATTATGTATCATATCAACACTCAACTTTTTACTCCGTAACCACAAGCACGCAAAGGTAGAAAATTACACTAGAACCCAACTCCAGTCCCATCCATGCAAACAAACTTCTGATCTGAGCTTCCATCACTTCTTTTAATGGACGACGACGACGACGACGACATCTACTCAACACCTTCATTCCGATACCGTTGGGACGTTTTCTTAAGTTTTAAAAGAGAAGACAGTCGCCACAACTTCACGGAAACTCTTTCCAGAGAGCTTATAAGGAACGGTATACGCACATTTCGTTATGACGAGGAGCTGGAGAGAGGAGAGGAGATCGCTCCGAGTCTTGTGGAGGCCATTCAGGATTCTGCAGCTGCTATAGCTGTCATTTCAAGCAAGTACGCTTCTTCAAGACGGTGTCTTGAGGAGCTTGCTAGAATAGTAGAGTATAGGAAGCTAAATCTTCCGGTATTTTACAAGGTTGATCCTTCGGATGTCAGGAGGCAAAAAGGTCCATTCGAGGAGGATTTTGTGAAGCTGGTGCAGAGGTTTGGTGAAAATAAGGTTGGTCGATGGAGGAGAGCTATGGAAAAGGCTGGTGACATCTCTGACTGGGATTCTAGAATTTGGTAATATTTTTTTTTTAAATTTCTACGTTGCTTTCTGAACTTTCTTTCTTTGCTTGTTTATTTTCTCATGTGTTAGTTGTATTGGAAGACTAAACAAGACTTTTGATTTTCGATAGGAGAGAAGACTTTTGAGTTGGACGGGGAAGAATCTTTTTGTATGTTAAACTTTGATTGGTAAATCTTACATAGAAATAGGGTTTTAGATCTGCAATTTGGATTAGACTTTGCATTGCTTTTACAATCTGGACTATTTTCTCATTAATGTTTATTTAATTTGGAATTGGGTTCATTTGGAGATTTTTAATCTAAAGTTGCTCAGTATCAGTTCTTAACCTAAGCTTGACAAAAGAAAGAAAAGGTAAAGTAAAGAAAAAGTAAATGAAGCTCACGAAAGTGTATTGTATTCAGCTTAAAGATAACTGTACAGTAAGTAGCACTTTTATAGTGCTCTGTTAACAGAAGCATTGAAACGTAACTAAATGTAACTGCTGTAACAGATTGCTAACAACTTGTAACTGAACAATCCTAACTGTAACAGATTAATAACTAAACACATTTTACTTTTTCATTAACATCCTCCCGTAAACTAAACTGGGAGTTCTCATTGCTTACTTAGTTAACTTCCTTAACATCCTCCCGTAAACTGAACTGGGAGTTTTGCTCATTTATCACTTCCAGATTGTTTTTCCACACAACTACTACAACTGACAGTATACACCTGCAATACACACCACATCATCAAAGCATTATCATTCAACTGCTCACTTATCAACTTCCAGATTGTTTTTCTGCACAACTACTACAACTGGCAGTATACACCTCAATACACACACATCATCAAGCACTATCATTCAACTGCTCACTTATCAACTTCCAAATTGTTTTTCTGCACGCTTACTACAACTGGCAGTATACACCTGCTCAAAGCATTATCATTCAACACTGCAAGCAGCATCATTCAACATCTGCATATACACCTATCAAAGCAATCTACAACATTCCACATATATCAGGCAACCAACCAGCAAAGTGTTAGTAAACGGTCCCTATACGCAGCGGAAATAAAAAAAAATATAATTCAGGGATCGTTTACATGAGCCAAGATCAAAGGTATAATTTTACAATTCATATTAAAATAAATCTGCAGAAAAATAAATCTGAGTTTAAAGAAAATAAACGCACGTTGGAGGCTCCTCCAAATTTGTCGACGAATGTTTTCACTACAAGAAAACTGATATTTTCAACCAATTTTTTAGCAACAACCAGAATTAGTTGCAAAAAGGCTACATTTATCAACTAAATTGACGTTAGTTGAGCAAAGAGGATTAAAATTTTGGGACCCAATGTTTCCAACATTTGGCATCTAAAGTTAATTTTTTGCGACTATTTGTTAGTCACAGAACCGGTTGCTTAGTGACTAATATTTAGTTACAATTTTTTTCGGGTGATTTGTCCCTCCAAAATTTGATAATTTGCATCTAAAATATGGCTTTTGCATCTAAATTTTTGGTTACAAAAAACATTTTTTGCAACTACTAATTTAGTTGCTAAATTAGTTGCGAATAATTAGGAATTTATTAGTATTATGATTAGTTGTAGAAATAAATTACCAAAATATCCTATATTGGACCAGTAATTACAAAGGCCCCAAAGTATATACAGCAACTAAATTTGATTTAGTTGCTATTTAATTTAAAAAATTCATATTCCCCCAAAATTATTTGTTCCCGCCAACCTGAATTATGGGCAACTAACACTAATTTTTTACTGATTAAATTTTTAGTTGCAAATTGACTTATTTCCATAATAGAATTATATTTCAAAATTAAATAACTAATTAGAACCCTTACTTTTTTAAGTTATTTACAGAATACCCTCATATAAAGCAAGCATTTTTTGCAATTTCATCTCTTCTCCACGCATTTTTGCCCTAGCTTTTTCCCCAAATTTCCCAAACGCACAACCCAAATTCATCTCTTCTCCACGCATGTTTGCCCTCACTGTTGCTTGAATTTCTGAACTGCAGAACCTACTTCATCTTTTCCCCATGCATCTTCATCTCTTCGATCTGACATGCCTCATCTTAATTGCTGTTGCCCAATTTCTGAACTGCAAAACCTACTTCATCTTTTCCCCACGCATCTTCTCTTCGATCTGACGCATCTTCATCTTAATCACTGTTGCCAAATTTCCAAACTGCAGAACCTGACTTCATCTCTCTCCACCATCTTCATCGTTCAATTGATCTCCTTGTTCCTTCATTCATCGAATATGAGCAGTCCCTAACCTCCCGTAAGTACAATTTTTGATTCTTTAGTTCTCTCACTGGTAACATTGAATCTGATTTCAATTATGTTTGAGTGAGACCTTTATCTTGTAAGCTATTTATATTACCCAAAAGAAACTCTCTACACCTCTCTCATTGCCTTCTTTAGCAACCTTCGACGTTAACGGAACGAAAGAAGAGAGGAAGATGATGAAGAAAATACTCTTCAAGTTTAGACGAAACTGACTTTTCGACGGAAAAGAAGAAAAGAAGGACTCAAGAATAAGGCGGATGACTCTGAAAGTTCTAAGAAGAAGGATAGCAAGAAGTGAAAGGTTATGGAAAAGATGACGAAGAGAGAAGTGAAACGAGCTCGGAATTAGGTGAGCCTATGAATTTGAAATCGGATATATAAGAGAAGCAAAAGAAAGCGAAAGTAGATGCTGAGGTGGAAGAGGAGGAGAAGAGTGAGAATCCGAATGCTATTTCTCGGTTTCAAATATCGGAACCATTGAGATGAAACTCAAGTCTAAGGGTATTGAGTCTCTGTTTCCAATTCAGGCCACCACTTTTGATATGGTTCTTGATGGCTCCGACTTAGTTGGACATCACGCACTGGTTAGGTTATATATTCTCTTTTATTGATTTTTTTTTTTTTTTAACTTTGATATCTTAGTTTGGGAGAGACTACAAGAAGAGAAATGGAAATAATGATTGTGCGGCACGCCTCTGCCTCTTGCATTCATCTTCTAGAAGGCCAACAATGAAGACGGTAACTTCTTTTTTCATAATCTGAAAAAAAATTTGCGCATCAAATTTCCATTCTACCAAATGTGAAGTAATAGAGAATCCTCAAGTTTGACCTCTTTACTGATTGTGCATGTTGGATCAACGTTTTAGATTATCGAAATTGACTCAAGTAAATGCTCTAAAATTTGCAGGATCTGAAGCAAAAGCCAAGTACTTGCTGACAATCACAGTTGGTCGAATCAGAGGCAAAATTTGATAGAATGGTTAAAAAGGTGTATATGAATGACCATTTCATTCTTTTTTTCTACTTACTGATTTTTACTTTAGGATACTGAGTTTTTGTTACATAAATTTTGATAGTTTTCTGAGGATTTCCAACTTTTGCTTTTCCACTATGATGGTCGGACAAGTATGGGATGAATTTGAGTGGTCAAAGAGCGCAATCCATGTTAGTGCAAGGAGACAAACAAAATGGTGAGATTTTACGATCTTCTGCATGTACTGAATTCCACCTTTTAGCTCTTTAATTTGAGAGCTACCAAAGTATAGAATAAGCATCTCATTGTTTTTATATGTTTTGTTTTCATGATCATCCATTCTTGAATTGCTTGGATTTATTGTCAGGGTTTTGATGCGAGAAATCTTCAATTTAAGCTTTCATTTTCACATATGATTGGCAGGTGGTATGCAAAAGGTTTTTGCATCCTGACGTTGTTGCAGCTTATGAGTATATTTTTATTTGGATGAAGATCTGGCGTGGAACACTTCAACGGGGAGAAGTAAGTTCATTTTTCCAGTTATGATTTCTGGTCAAGTTTAACAGTCACAACTTTCTTCTAAATTGCTCCATATGAATAACCATGTATATTGAGTTGGTTAAAAAACATGGGCTAGAGATCTCTCAACCAGGTCTGGAGCCCAATAACGGATTGACATGGCAAATGACGCAGTGGAGGAGTGATCGAGAGGTTCACAAGTAAGCTTTATAGCTCACTCTCTTGGGCTCTTTCTCCCTTTTGTATAGTAGACATTTATTTGATGAGTATTACTGGATTATCGTATAATATCAGTTTGCTAAGACATGATGCATTTGAATTTATTTTCAGGTTTACAGAAGAGAAACCTGGCTGTTCAGTGATCCACATGTGCCTCCATGTGCTGCGAATGTTTTTTCTCTCTCACCCTAGATTTTGTATTATGTTGACATATCTCAATTGGTGAGTTAACATCATTCATAATTATGTACTTGCATGCTAGTTATTGACATGAAAAATCATGCTTCAGTGAAGAAGTGTCAATTGCCTATTGGCAATACGGATATTTATGTTCCTTATATACGACTTGTTAATTGACACATTTTAATTGTGCTGCATAGTTACAATAAATCTTTTAACTCTTTCTATAAAGAATGGTATATAAGTTCAATTGTGAAAGACAATAACAATTTTGTTGTCCCTAATTTTCCTTAAAATTCAATCGCTCATGTCTCTCTAACTATATGACTCGCTTTCCTGGGCCATGGCTTACAGAAAAAGTCATTTAATTGATGCTTTCTTCTCCTTTATCCATTGCTGATATTATTGCTACTACCGGCCTCTCTCTTTCATCCACCAATTGATCCAATAACAGATAATGATATTGTTTCCCTTATCTCAATCACTGCCTCCAAGAATTCAATAGTTTTCACCAAGGAAAAACTTACAATGATTTATAGCTCTTTTAAAATTGATTGACCATAATTTGAGATTATTAGCTATTATCAATTGTCAGAAATAAGTCTATTACATCCATAAAAAACCGAATTGCTTAGTTCTGCAACACCTTTGAGTGATTTGGTCCCCAGATAAGTGGATATGATGAAAAGAAAAGTTGATGTGATTGTTCATAGTTGTAGTGATAGAGCATGGCAGTAGAGAGTAGTAGAGGTATTAGTGGCAGTGGGGTGGTACATTGTCAACGGTGATGGTAAGCGATGGTGGTTGTTTTAA